TCCCTTCCCTTCTCTTCCCCTTCCTACAACCCCTCCCCTCCCCTCCCCTTCTCTTCTCTTCCCCTCCCTGTTTCCTCCTTCCCTTCCCTTCTTTTCCTTTCTTTTCCCTTCCCTTCCCTTCCCTTCCCTTCCCTTCCCTTCCCTTCCCTTCCCTTCCCTTCCCTTCCCTTCCCTTTCCTTCCCTTTCCTTGGCTTCCCTTCTTTTTTTCTCTTTTCTTTTCCTGAAAGGTTAATGCAGTCATGACATCCATTTGGGGCCTTAACTGCCGGAAAACCTAACAGCCAGCAAGGGCTTTCTTGGGTTACCCTAGCAAGAGATCTCTGCAAGTCAAACACTATTAACTTTAACGAAGCAGCTTTGATGGCCTGGAAGAGACAGCCGACACCGTATTTCCTTAACAATAAAGCACTCTGACAGATGAAAACAAACAGGCTCGAGATAACGTATAGCGTTTCAGGGACCAGGCAGGGCAGGACCAATAATGAGCAAAGACGGATGTGAGCGGTGTTCCTCTGTCTGCCCTGGAAACTTGTAAAAGGTGGGGCTGTCCCAGCCCCACTGCCTGGGAGGAATTTCAGAAGACACCCAGTTTCATGAAGGGGCTACGGGAGACTCTTCACGGTAGCCACTGGATCTGAGTCCTTTCCCAGGTCTGGAGCTCTTGGTGCACCAGAATGTGACCACGCCTGCTGCTGTCTTCCCTGTGGACTGAGCTTCTCAGCTCTGGAAACTGTCCAGGGACTTGGGACTGCCATGCAATGGAGCTGCCGGGACTTAACTCTGTTTTGACAATTCCTAATGCCGAACTTGGCCGAACCCAGACACAAGAACAGCAGAGCCAGTCGGGGCTAGGCTTAGTGCTAATGCCCCTCGGAGGCTGCAGAGGGAGGCGGTGTACAGACCACCACACTTGATCATTAACTATTAAATGCATACTTCAGCTACACTATGATGACTGGGAATTAAAGAAATTGTTTTGTTTCAATTCCCTATCAATCCAGGTCAATTACAAATGCCCCTATTATATGCTTTCCTTGGGGACGTTTTTTGAGTGTGTGGGAGGGGAAAGAATAGTACAATTGTGCTTTTGAACTTTTGTGCATGTGTTTTGTTTTGAACGCCACAGCCTTTTTTCAGAGGCAGTTTTTCTACGGCTCTACTGGGGAGCCTGAGATCACATGTGTAATAGGCACCAGTCATGACTGAGTGGATTTCAAGGCCCTGGAGGGTGTGTGTGTGTGAGAGAGAGAGAGGTGGGGGGATGGAGAGACAGAGGCAGATAGGGGGTGGCGGAGGAATGGATCATGACGACAGAGCAAGAGCCCATCCCAAACTGCTGGCAGAAGTGCACTGGTAATTCCAAGACCCTTATTTAACCAAAGAGCCGTGGTTTCGACTCAGAGCCTTTAGCAAGATGCTCTGTAAGTTGTTCACTCTCCTGCTTTCCTAAGGGTCTTATGCAAACATTTCATTGAAATTTTACCTTTTAAAAGTTTATTTACTGTGTGTGCACCTGTGTGTGCATGTGCACAGGCCCGTGTGAGCCACAGTGTGTATGTACATCTTGGGGCATCTTCCAGAAGTCAATTCTCTCCTTTCACTGTGCATTCTGGGGTTTGAACTCGGGCCGCCATGCTTGTATGGCAAGCACTTTTACTCAGTGAGCCCTCCCACTGCCTCTTACTTTATCCTTAAAAGACACCCTATACCAGCATCATGGGTGCTGTGGTTACTGCCTCTGTGTGACCAGTTGGGAAATGGAACTATTGAAACATTGGTTTACTCCCTGTAGTAAAAGGAGGAGCGGGCTGCGCCCCACCTCCCGAAAGGGGCGTGTGCCCTTTGTTCTGTCCCACCTGGCAAGCTTACACCCGAAATAATTACACAGAAACTGTATTCATTTAAACACTGCCTGGCCCATTAGCTCTAGCCTCTTATTGGCTAACTCTCACATCTGATTCAACCCATTTCTAATAATCTAATAATAATAATCTAATAATCTAATAATATCACCATGAGCATGTGGCTTATCAGGAAAGATTCAGCATGTCTGACCTGGCAACTTCATGGCAGGCGGCTCTCTCTGCCTCTGCTTTCTGCCTCCCAGAATTCAATTCTATAGTCTCCACCCATCTAAGAGCTGCCCTATCAAAGGCCAAGACAGTTTTCTTTATTCAACCAATGAAAGCAACACATAGAAAGAAGACCCTCCTACACCACTCCCTGCGGTCACACAGCTCGTAACTGCTGTCCCCAGAGTCTACGCTTGGCCTGCTGCACTCTGCTGCTCTGGGTTTGTGCTGGGAGCGCGTGACCAGAGATCAACAGCGGGAGGAAGTGAGGCCTTGAATCAACCAGACTTAGGACAACAAGACAGGAACGACACGTACTGTGCATACTAGCTCCTGTGCTGGTGTCTGTCCACATGATCTCACGTCACCTTGACAGGCTCAGGCGTTCTGATCTGCCTGCCATCACTAACATACATCTAGAAAGAGCTGTTTAGTGTCTCTGAGCCTCAATTTCCTTATCAGTGAAAGGTGACAGTCATAATTCCTTCAAAAGAAGGTTGTGAAGATGAACAAGATAATGCAGGGAGAAAGCCTGTTCTCTAGAGGGAACTCCAGGAAAACGACCACTTTATTATGATGAGGTAAGCTATTGCTATCTTTTCTTTATGGACAAGAAAACAGAGCTCAGAGAAACTGGTCAAGCCCACGTAGCAAATGGAGAAACTGAATTCACTCACATACCTCAGCCACCTCACTGTTTTCAGTCCCTGGGACCCTGCTCTTAGCCGGGAGCAGTGACCCTCCCAAGTGGGTCACAGGTAGGCACTGACTAAAATGTTCAGCCAGTCAAACCTCCAACTGCGTGATAAGGAGATGTTGGGACACATCTTAGAAACCGTGATGTGAATTTTGACATCGGATCCTTTCCAGGGCTACTACTCATTGGTAAGATGTCTGTCCCAAGGTGGTGGCAGGAAGCCACCACACCCAGTCAACCATGCCATCCCCAGACTGAAGAGCAGGTAGCTGCAGGGCGCGGCACAGTGCTCCGTCAGTTCCAGGAGTGTGCCAGCATTTGAGGAGGAAGCAGGCTTTGTATCAGTGGGTTTTGTTCTGCGCTCATGCAAAGCAGGCTAGGCTAAGCTAGGAGGCTGGGCAGGTTGTGTGTGTTAAATGCATTTTCAGCGGGCACTTTAAGTCTATGACGGATTTTTCAGGATGTAACCTCATAGCCAGCTGAAGAGTTTCTGTATCTAATTCAGAGTTCTTATATGGATTACCCCACTATGTCACCCAGCCTCTTGGTGACTCTTGGAAGCCAGTTTACCAACGCTGCTCTCATCTTCGATCAGGTTAGGAATGCGGGGCTTGGGGAGCCTCAGCTTAGGCTGCTATGTGGAAGTTTTCATTGTGCTTGGCTTGGGATAACTCCTGAGTTTGAAAGTAAAGCAGACATTCCCATTGCCCCTTCCCACACCTTTGACTGATACCAGAGTTCTATCTGATGTGTAATTAGCTACAGTTTTGGGTTCAGGTCTCCAGATAGGGCCAGGGGCGGGTGACGACTCAGGGGGCGTGTTCTCTCAAGAACATGTTCTCCTATTGCAATCTGAGGATGCCTTTCAGAGGCCAGAGGAGATGCCTGTCATAAATGTCAGCCCAGGACCAATTCCCAGGGACTCATTGGGATTTCCACACTCTCAGAGTTGTCCTCAAGCTGCTTTGACCCTGGCTGCCCCAGGCTGACACCTGCTGACATTGAGCATGTGAACGTGGGCTGAGAAGGAGGGCGTGTTAGGCTCAGGGTGACTGCTGCTGTTTCCCGTCTTTTCTTACCTGCCACCTGTCCATGCAGGTGAAGTCACAGGACTGTTGAAGGAGGGAGGCGCCGCAGGAGAAAACATTCCCTGGCTGTGAGTAGATCATGGTTAGGGCAGAGGGGAAAACTCTCCTGGGTTTGTTTTTTGAGACAGGAGGAACTGGGAATGCTTGGTATCTGAGCGTCACTCTGCCTCTTCCCATTCTGCACGGAGCAGCCCCTTTCTTGTGTGTGCTGTGATCAGCAGTGACCACGAGCCTGGCTTACACATTTCTCATCCTTCAAAGGCCTTGGCTGATTGGTTTTATGTGGGTTTTGGTGCAGGGGACAGTCATGGACTTTCTGCTCCTTCTGTCAGGGTGATTACTGATGGCTCCTGGCAGTGGCAGGAAGCTGGGCTGAGTTAGCAATTACTAATGGCAAAACCATCTCAAATCACTGCCCTCTAGTGGTTCACTGGAAAACATCCACATAATAGGGCTGGGCTGAGAGGCATTCAAATGCAGACTGGATTTAAACAGGGTGAGTAAAACACTAGGATGCCTGTTAAGGAGGTGACTCAGTGGGTAGAAGTGCTTGATATGCAAACATGAGGACCTGAGTCCAAATCTCTGGAACCCACATAAAAAGCCTGTAACCCCAGTACTCTGGGGGCAGAGACTTAAGGTCACGGGATCTTGATGGGTGGCAGCCTAGCTCCAGGTTTAGTGAAAATGTGCCACACATATATCCCAATCTCCCCCCGTCTGGTTCTCCCTCTGTCTCTCACATACACTAAAATTTCAGAAAGAGCAGGATGGCGGGAGAACAGAACCCCTAATTTTTACAAAAGAGCATCTCCCTTTTAAAGAGCATCTTGTATTTGTTCTTTGACAATTTCATACATGTATACAACATATCCTGCACGTACCCACCCTGACCCCTTCCTCTGATTCTCTTCAGTTCACTCCCTCCTGCTTTAATGCCCCCCCTTTTTGTTACCCACTGAGTCCAGTTCTATTGTCTGCTGGAATGTTGGCTGACCTTGGGCAAGTCTGATGGAGTACCCCTATCTACTCCGTCCCTTCTCCCTGCCCATTGGTGAACTTGGACACCGTCTAGAGTCCCATTCAGCCTGTTCTCATAAAAGGCAAACCAACACAGACCCCCCCTCCCACCCCTCCCACCCTCCACGCCCCCCCCAAAACCAAACTGTGCTCTAGGCTATATGTTCTTCCTCAGACTGTGCCTCTAAAGCCCCTTGACTGTTGCTGCTGTTTGTTCTGCCTCCTGGTGACACAGTCCGCGAGGCCTGCTACAAGCCTCTTTTCCCTACAAAGCATCCCCTGGGCACTGGCATTCCTCACTCTGTAACCAGGATTCTGTTTGGGGAAGAGGATCACTCTTACGGTATGGAGATGAAAAAGCCGTTCATGGTCTATGCACCTTAAGATCTGGCTTTCCCCCATTTCTTCACAGTGAGGACAGATCTTAATTTAACACGGTAAGTTGAACTGTGTGCTCCCTTCCTCGAGATTTTAACTTTACCCTTAAGTTGACTCTTGCCTACTCTGTGACCTTGTGCCCCAATTTTTCCGTTTACTTCCTGGACTGCTTTTGAAGGGTCTATAAATCTCCTCTTAGGCCAGCCCTTTTCTTGAGATGAATAATATTTGTATTCTTGTCGTGCAACACGGTTTTACAACGATGCCAATTTATTATCTTCTGGCAGTCTAGACTTTCGCCATGTTTTGCTTTCATTTTTCTTTTTCAGCACTGAACACACAACTAGTCTTTCTCTTAGCCTTCGTCACGATGATCACTTTAAAGAATGAACTTTTCCCTTCCTAAGGCATACCCAGAAAATGGCACGTGTGAAGGTCTCAGTGAGCTGACCCAGTCTGATATGGGCTCAGAGCAGAACAGGGCTCAGTTGGGGACTATCACATGGAGGGACAGCCAGAGGGGAGACAGGGACCCCCATGAATAGGTTGTCTCCTGGTTCTTCGGTTGGGGTGAGCAGGTTTACTGCCCCCAGCCCCAATGTAGGACCCTGCCTTAATTGAAATCACATACTTTAATGATCTCATGATCACTGACTTCCTTCCAGGGACTTTCAGGCTGCGTGCGGAAAAGTCAGTGAGGCAGAAACCAGCTTCAGTGACCTTGTCCCCGAAGCCACGGGGATTCCGCATTGAGCAGAAGGAGGGCGAAGCAGATAGGGTTTTTCTTCAATGTTATCTTCTAAGCACTTAGCTTCTCCTAGGAGCCCAGTTCCCATGGTACCGTTCCTCCCCTTTATGAAACATCTGATGCTTTGTGCCCATTGTTTGCTCGTATCTTTATAAACTCACTCTGGGGCTGGTGCTCTCTGTTGGAGGTCTTTGAGTTCTGATGATTGATGACCTTCCACAGTGGCAGTTCATCCAGTCCTTGCTAGGGACTCGGTAGAATTTACACATTAGGGTCTTACTCATGAAGTGTCCAGGGCATGGCCCATGTTGACTGTGGGTAGGGGCAGCAAGTGACACAGACAGGCCCCTGAAGCCAGGTGACCTCCTAGTGTGACTAAAAGTCAGATATGCTATTTAAACCTTGAAGTATTTTTTTTTGTATTTATTTATTTATTTACACAATATTCTGTCTGTATCCTGCAGGCCAGAAGAGGGCACCAGACCTCATTACAGATGGTTGTGAGCCACCATGTGGTTGCTGGGAATTGAACTCAGGACCTTTGGAAGAGCAGGCAGTGCTCTTAACCGCTGAGCCATCTCTCCAGCCCCAAACCTTGAAGTATTTTAAAATGGAAATAGGAAGTGTAGCCTGAGGATTGAGGTGCTGCCCATAAAGTCTTTAGCAATACTGTTCCATGAATGTTAGTTATTACAGTTATGGGGATGGAAGATTCATCTAGAGGATCAGTGTGGGCACGCAGAAAAGACTGAGTTGGGCCCCCTACCTCATGCATAGCTGTGTGTTCTGGAAACCTCACAGGATCACCTCAGCTCAAACTTAAGGTTGTCAGGAGGCCTGTATTAGATACGAGGTATCCTAGATGTGGCACATGGAACTTGACATGTTAGCCAGTTCCCCATGCTCTTAGGTCTTCTGTGGTGTTAGATCGTGACTCTAGGAAGTCTTTTAATCAAGTTTCCTTCGCACAAGGCACACATTAAAAAAAAAAAAGAGTCCTCTTGAGTGGGTCCTTCCACCAAGGGCATGCCAAACATTTAGTGCTTCCTTTCAAGGCTGAGAAGGTGTTATTTATTTATTTGTTTTATATATATACATATGTCTATGTATATATATATATGTTTTTATATATGTATATATGTTGTATATTTTATATATATATATACTTATACATGTTATTAACAACCATCAGTTGTTATTTTCCTTCCTATTGCAAGGATAAAATATACTGACAAAAGAATCTTAAGGGAGAGGAGACTTATTTTGGCTTACAGTTCAAGGTACAGTTCATAACGGTTGAGAATTCATAGTGGCAGGAGCGTGAGGTCTCTGGTCTAATTGCATCCAGTCGGGAAGCGAAGAATGATGGACATTAGTACTCGGCTCACTTCAACAGCTGCAGCCCAGGATCCTAGCTTAGGGAATGCTGCCACCACAGTGGTTCCCAACATCGACAAACCCAATCAAGATTATCCTTTGCAGGCCTCTCAGAGGTTTGTCTCATCCAGTTGGTCACCGAGATTAATCCTTACAGTAGGTGGAGTACTTGCAGTTTAAGTTTGGGGACCTGAGTTCAAGTCCCCAGAGCCCACAGAAAGGCAGGTGCTGTAGTGAGCATTTGTATCCTCAGTGTTTCTATGGGGAGTTGGGAGGTGGAGATAGGAGACTCTTGGGAAGCTCAGGGACCAACAGGAGACTCTGTCTCAAGGTGAACGGAAAGAGAGAAGAGATGACTGGATTGTCCTCTGACATCCACAAAGTCACATGACCTGTAGGGTCCACACAACTATTGTGGCACTCAGGTACCAGCTCACATTCTTGGTCTGCTCCTGTCTCTCTCCTGCTTCCCCCAACAAGTTTTAAAACAGAACCTCAAACAAAAAGTGCAATTCCTTTCCAAGATCAAAACTCCAGACCAAAACACAGATTTACACTGTGGATTGTAAATATTGCTGGCTTTTTTTTTTTTTCAACGTTAAACAAATGCACTCATTGTTGCAAAACAATATATGGAAAGTTCTCCTAGTCTGCCCCCTGTAGGATAAAATGTCCCAGTGGGAAGTGGTGCACAACGCTGGTGAAGTTCTTCTGGGACACCAAGTAAGTACTTTGGATGTCCACAACCTCCTTGGAAAGGTGCCATTGCTGTGGTCCTTCCAGGTGTCTTGGTCTCAGAGTCTGCTGGACTGTTGGGCAGACTTCTTCGGGCTTGAGTTCCCTAGAGGATTCTGTTTCTTTTGTAAAGGAAGAAGGAAGCTTCTGGCTGTTGCTTTCCTATGAGTGGTGAGACCAGAGAAGGAGCCCAGTGTGGTGGCAGCTCTGGGAGAGCTCATTGAGTCAGGCAGATCCGGGAGGAGTGGCGACACCCTTCCTGGTGTGAGCGGCGGCCTGCGGCCTGCTCGCTGCACACACACACACACACACACACACACACACACGCTTGATTTACAGTCCCAGTCGGACAGCATCTGAGTCTAATTCCCTGGGTATATGAAAGTTCAGGAGATCTCCACCAAGTTAGCCATTCAGGGGTGCACTTTACCAGAAGCAGATGGGGAAAATAAAACACTTTAGTTTATGAGTATTTTTCTATTCAGGGGAAGGAGAAAGAACAAAAAGAGTTGCCAAATTGATTCTTGTCAAGCGCTAATTAAATATTATTCATGATTAATTTTGATGTTGATGTATTCAGTGTTTTAACAGTGTCGTAAATATCTGGAAGAATGAAATAACTCACTTCGTGTGGTGTAATAAATCATACACACTTCTGTCCCCATGTGGCCTCCTGAGCCAGCCTGATTATTGTTTTTAAAAATAATACACTTGCTAGTGACTTTTCTGGAATGTTCTTCGTGAATGTGAGGAAATAATTTCCTAATCACTCTTTGAAGTCGCCATTTTATCTGCTTAAAGCACTTTTATAATTATAAGAAAATTAAAAGCTTATTGCTTAGTGATGTATCATTAACAGGTGTAGATAAGGTAAGGTCTACTTTTGAAAATCCAGGTGGGTTTGAGGAGAGGCAGGTGGGTGAGGATATAGACGAAACAAGACCAGCCTTGGATGACTGATTCTTGAAGCCTGGTGATAGACGCATGGGAATTTATTGCAATATTCCCTACTTTGATGCATCCTGTAATTATCTGTACTATATATTTGAAAAGCCTTTTGTGAGGATGAGCTCAGGGATTTTCATTGAAAAAATATGGCAACTAGCCCTCATTGAAAGCATCTATTATTAATCATGTTCGAATATGTAGTGGTTCCAGCCTGGGGTTGGTGACTAATGGCGGCGATGAAAACAGTGACAGTAGCTCCTATTTAATTGGATGTCACCAGTGGGCAGTGCCTACAGCAGATCTTTTACATTCTCACGTATTCTCTAAGGCCTGTGGGGTAGCTGAGGGGTAGAGCGCTTGCCTAGCATGACCAAGGCTGCGGGTTCAATCCCTGGTACTGGGAAAATGAAAGGCTGTGATGTAGGCTATATGTAGGTTAAATATTTTGTTCTTACCTTGAAGATGAGAAAACAGAAACTTAGGGAGATTAAATTGTTTGATAAAAGGCAGTCGCTCCGTGGCAAAGTGAGGTCTCTGATGTTCCAAGGTGAATCCTTTCATTTTCATTGAAAAAGGAACTACGTTTACTGACATGGTCGGGCTGCAGTCATTCATTCGAATAATTTGAAGAGGAAGGCGATTTAGAGATGTTATAGTCCAGAGATGCTAAGTCGCTGCCATGCCTGCTCTTGCCCCATGCCTGCGGTGGTAGATTCTACTAATTAAATGTGACACTCACACTGATTCAAGATTCCCTTCAACATAGTGCCTGGATAACTCAGCTAGAGACTCGGAGCTGGCACCTGGCAAAAATCAACCTCTCATTTCTCTTTCATTTTTCTTCACAGCAAACAAGACAATTGAGTCCCAGAAAAAGCCACAACTCTCTCAAGGTCCATGGACGGTCGTTAACAAAGTTCTCACTGCTCTTGATGACAGGTTCTGGGCCGCTTCTGTCTGCGTCTTCTTCCGTATGCTCACGTACATTAACAGAAGCTGCTCGGAACAATGTGGCATCAATATTGGGTATTTATTGCCCAGCTCTCATCTTCTAGCTGTGGCTCAAACCAGGTCAGTTCTCAGAAACATCTGCTGGTTTCCTAAAACAGCAACAGAGCCCGAGGCTGAATTTAGTCAGACAGCTGCATTCACAGGCCCCAAAGCCCCTAGCAACAGAAGTCTACAGTCCCTAGTCACTCTCCTTAGGGACACATGTGGAAGGCTCTATTCTGTCCAGTCAGGAAGGATGACATAAAGCAGACAGCCATTGCAGTCCCTCACCAGCCTCACCGTCCCCCCACACTGGTGGACTTGGGGAGCACTCAGCTGACCCCAGTAGTCCTTCTCCCAAAGGACGTTTAGACTCAGACTCCTCACAGGGTCGTAGGCCCCGTCTTCTGTTCTGAAGATGTTTGGGTCCTTGGATAACTTTGACCCACATTATTTACCTTGGCAGCAGAAATCCTACCTACAGAATGTGTGCTTTACCTAACTAAATCTTAAGTTCTTTGGAGATTTTTGTGGCTAGGGTTCTGTCTTCCCCAAGAGACCCAGAAACAAGGCAAGAATTTCCAGTGGAATTTGTGTGTGTGTATGTTTTATTTAAATACATCTGTGAATTGAGCAGCTAATAGAAACCCATGTAATTTATGTGACAAGTGACAGGTAGTGTGAAAATAACTTACCCATGTCCTGTTATGAATTTGCACCATTATGCTAGGTACCGTCATATGTCACCAGCAGACCATTAAGATGGAGTCGACAGTATTTTCTTAGGTAAAGGGGTCATTATTTTTGCTGTTTGTTCCTAATTTCTTAATTGTCAGTGAAGACCATTAGGGCCAAGGATTATTTCACACGAAGACACAGATCGAATGTGTGGGAGGCAGAGTGACCTCGTGAGTGCTGATAAAAACCTGCTAATGCGAAGAACCTGCTAGCGTGCCATGAGCTCCAGGCTGGGATCTGCGTGTGCGCCTGTGGTTGGCGTGTCAGTAAGATACGTGCATGTGGCGTGTGGAGAATGGGGAGACCAGCAGTGGGTAGTCGGTCTCTGGAGGGACTCGACTTCCCTGTGAGGGTGTGCGTGCCAGCGAGAGAGGCTGGATGGCTTGGAGTGGTTCACAGCTCTTCTGGTTTCTTTTCTAAGCTATGCAGCAATGGGAGATGGTCGAGTCAGGAAAGTGCCTGCTGTACAGACATTCGGACCCCAGTTAAGGTCTCTGTGTCCCTGGAGCTCACTGACCATCCAGACTCACCAAATGGGGAGCTCTTGTTTGAGTAAAAGATCCATCTCCCAAAAAACAAGTGGAGAACAAAGGAAGAACTCACCTGGTGTCACTTTCAGAATCTGAACTTGTGTCTGCATGAATTGTATACATACACACACACCACATACCATACACATGACACACACAGTGCACACACCACACACACTACACCATGCATACACACATACCACACACACACCCCACATTACACTACATACATACACACACCACACACACTACACATACGCCACACAATACTATATCTACACACCACACTCACATACACACTGCACACATACCACACCACACACACATACACCATGCACACACACTGCATACATACCACACACACTACACATACACACCTACCACATACATACCATATACACTACACATACATGTGCACACCACAAACACACACCACAGATATACACCATATACACACTACACATATACCACACACACCACATACACATGCATACCACGCACACCACACAAACCACACACACACTACACACATACTACATACACACTACACACACATACACCACACACACCATACACATGCATACCGCACACACCACACACACACGCACACACACACTACAGCCCCCCTCACAAGACAGCAGGTGAGTTTATAGCATTAATAACCTTCCTAAGAGAATGAGAACTGCATAAAGCCTCCCAGAGCAGCCGACTTAAAGCAGAATCAGTTCCAGTTCCTCCTGGAATTCTTACTGCGTCTAGACATCAAGGCTGGAAGGTGGCTCAGGTCATCTTGGCCTCTCCAGTACAGATGTGTATGGTGAGGGCACCTACAAAAAACAAAGAGGAAGTGGCTGCAGCTTATTTCTTAACTCACGGAAGCCCTCCCGTTGCTGCTATGACTTACATCCCGTGCTTTGTAAAGACACGGCATCTCCAGTCATTTCTAGTTAGTGTGTGTGGGGTGTGGAGGCCAGGGCGCAAGCCCAGGCAACGTTTCTCAGGTACTGCTCACTTATTTACTTTTTTTATTCTTTGAGATAGGGCCTCTCATCAGCCTGAAACTTGCTGAGTAGGCTGGCTAACCAATATCTGCCCTTTTTCCTCCCCAGCGCTGGGATTACAAACACAGGCCACCATGTCAACTTCTGTATGTGGGTTGGAGATTGATCCTAAGTCCCCCCTTGCAAGCACTTTCCTAATAGAGTTATCCTGATCTCTCTTAACATGGAAAAGCTGGCTTCTTTAGAAGAGCCACCATTATTCAGAAGGACAATTTGACTGTAAAAGGAAACCACGTGTCACTTCTTTTCCATCCTACTTAGGATCTTTGGGGTGGTGTGACATGTATACAGCACAGGGAGAGGATCACATGATGAGGTGAGAACTCTGGAAGCCATTCTTAGAGAAAGGGAAGAAGCAGGCCAAAAGGGAGTCAGAGACAGCGGCCTAAGTCTAGACCCAGAGAGGTAAAGAACGTAGTTGGTTTCAGGGAGGTGGTAATGGCGCTGCCTGTGTATGCCGGGCACTGTGACCATATAGCAGTGACCAGGACAGATAGACAGCTGTTTGGTCAGGGTACAGCACTGGGTGGGGGAAGAAATGGGAGAGTAGGGCCAACCCATGGAAGGTTTGAAAGGCCTTACTGAAGAGTTCACCCTTGGCAGCTTGCTTACAGAAGGGTAGTTCCCAAGCTCTGTGGATACAGCTGCCAGTCTGATGAAAACGCAGCATTAGAGCACCTGAAACATGCCTGAGCCAGCAGCCCGAGGTGGGCTCAAGGCTTTCTGGAAGAGTCAACTGCTTTACGGATAGAAGATAAAGAGAGTCCATGAGCACACACAGTATCTTTCCTGATAAATATAGCTATTTAAAACTATGATAACACACCCTGCCATCTGCTCCAGCCTTGAAACAAAAAAAAAAAAAATCTACTTCTCTTGCCCATTCTAGAAGTCAGGCACTCTTTCCTATTTTATTTACTTATTTTTAAAAGATTTATCTATTTTTACACACACACACACACACACAGGTATTTTGTCTGTATGTACTTCTTCACACCAGAAGAAGGCATATGATCCCATGGGACTGCAGTTATAGATGGTTGTGAGCCACCGAGTGGGTGCTGAGAATTGAACCCAGGACCTGCAGGAGAGCAGCCAGCGCTCTTAACCACTGGGCCATCTCTTCAGTCCCAGGTCTTCCAATTTTTTTAAACCTTGCACTTGGTGCTGTCCACTTGAAGAGTTAAAAATGAAAAGAGACTATCTGGTAGACCTCTTTGGACTGCCCAAAGTCAAGATGTAGCATTGCTGCTGGCTAACTGATGACCACGTGTCTCTACGCCTGTCCTTCTCTGCTGTAAGTGGAGGAATGACAGACCTCCTTAGAAGAATTGGGGGGGTGGGAGACTTAATTGAAAGAAGGTGGCAACACTCTCGGTAAGATGGGGACAGCCAGCTGCACGGAACCCTGGAGGGGCTGAGGGTGGCCTTCCAGGTTGGCAGCCGTGGTAACGGCCACCACAGTGCCCAAGGGGTTTCCCAAGCTCCCTCTGAGTTCCGCAGTCACTGACAAGGTAGGGCAGGGTGGTGGGCAGGGAGAGAGCTGCTCAGCTTTCCCAGATTCTGGTTCTGGTTTCTTGGCGTCACTGGGAACAACTGTGTCCTTGTCTCCTTTCTTTCTGCTCTTGGGGATGGAGCGATCAATGGGCTCCGTGGAGCCGTCATAGAGGGCAGAGGAGCAAGAGTTCAGCAAGGGGGGACACACATTTTCCTGCTTCACTTGGACTAGTGCCAAGCCCTTCTGTTAAAAGTCAGGGGGTTTGTTGAAGTCCATTGCAAAGCTGCTGGTTGGCTCCAACTTGACAGCGACGTGGGAAGGCAGGGGTTGGGGGGGGGGCTTGTGTGAAGAAAGCCATTTTTGGGGCTCCAGGAAAGTGTCGAGGGGCTTGCACTCACTAAAAACAATGAAATCGCCCTCTTCTCTAGCAGAGGCCTCTGTGGGCGTGTCTGTGCCACGTAGCTCTCAAGGTCAAGGTTGGGGCATGTGCAGGTGCTGCTTGAGGATGTGATGGACACAGTTGCGCTTGGCCACAAAGATGGTGTCGCATTCCTTGCGCTCAAAGGGCTTGAGACCTTTGTGGCAGGCACCCAGGCCTCGGCTGCAGTGTGTACGCACGTGCATGCGCAGTGCGCGGTAGTGCTTTAGATCCTCACCGCACAGCCTGCGCACGTCTCTTGGGGGCAGAAGGCACTGACCAGCTCCGCCGCACTGATGCCCATATTCTGTTCTTTTCGATGTCCTTCCAGCTGGCCTTGAGGTGCTTCTCGCAGGGGTGCCGCTCACTGCTGCCTTTGACTGTGAATGGGTAGTGAGTGGCAGGCAGATCTCCATTGTTAATGTGAAGTTGACTTCCGAAATATCTAATCAGGTTTGTTTCATTCTCCTAGCGCATATTTTTTTTTAAAGATCAAGATAAATTATCAATTTTTTTTTTTTGCTATAGAAAGATGAGACACACTGTGCAGTAAATCTCTGAGAATTCTTTCCACACAATTATCAATGAGAACTTGACAAACACGGTGGAGCCCCTGAATGGATTAAGGAAGAAGTTACCTTTGGGTGATAGGAGCCCTGACTGTTCCCTCTGGTTAGAAGTAAAGCTAGGGTTAGGTCCCTTAACATCTATCTGTCCATCCTCAGATTTCCTTTGTGAAAGCAGAAGCCGGCTAGAAATGGCTGTCACAGAATGAAGATCCGGTTACCCATTGGACACTGACTGTGGCCCTGGGCTGGGGTATAAGATGATGGCCT